CCCCCTTGCGGGAGGCCATCATGGCCGTCATAGGAAGCGGAGCGCACGGCATGCAGTCTTTTGTCCTGACAATTGTAGCAGTGCGAGAGCAGCTAGTACGAGCTCGGCAGCCGCCCGCGCGGCGGCAGGCCCAGCGGCTCGACGAGTTCGCCGACTTGGCCGAGCGGCTGCGGCTCGATGAAGAGTTAGTAAGGACGGAGCTGGTCGGCAGGCCAGAGATGCTGCAGGTGTTGAACCAGGTCAAGTTCGCCGAGTCCGAGCCCGGGCCCCATGAGGAGGACGGCTCGGACCCGAAGTACTTCCAGGACTCCTACGAGATGCCGTTTCCCGAGATGAACAGGACAGCAGTTACGGAGCCATTGCCCAGGAACCCGCAAACCCACGTACATGAGCAGCCGGTCGACTTCCATGACATCCTTGATGTCAGCGACAGGCAGCTGATTGCAGATCACCTGAATGCCTTTGTGCAATGTGAGAAGCTTAAGTGGGAATATCGCGAGCAGGTGCTCCGAGACCCGGCAGCACCAGCGCCAAGCTTCCCGGCCGTCCCGCCGGTGGTCATCCCAGCCCAGCGGATAAAGCGGCGCGAGTGCTATTGGTCCTGCGCGGACCCGCGGGCGTGCGTGCCCTTGGAGGCCGCATACAGGCCCAAGCCGAAGCTGAACGGAGAAGTTTTCCGGAAGATGTGCGAGGCGGCGGGCATCGAGGACTACCAGCTCCTGGATATGGTGGACCAGGGAGTGCCCGGCTTGGACGAGTCGCGGCCGTACGCGATCGTGCTGAACGGCAACTACGCTAGCCTGGCGCCGTACTATGGCCCGGTGTTTGAGAAGGCGGTGAAGGAGGTGAGCCAAGGGCAGCTTCGGCGGTTCACCGTCGAGCCGGAGCATTTCACCGCCGAGAATGTGTGGTTGCCATGCGTGCCGATTAACATCGACTCTACTGGCTCCGCAACGCGGTCAAGCGATGACAAGCCGGTCGGACTGAAGAAGGCTCGTAGGACGGTGGGCGGCGGGAGCCCGGAGACCATGCCGGAGTATTCAGGCAACCAGCACGCAAGGGTTGAGGAGCAGTGGCCTCGGGTCATCCTCGACGGCGTGGCGCAGCACGCCAAGTATAACGCCATCCTCTACCATCCGGCGAAAGCACTCAAGGAAGAGCTGTGCGGGGCTAGTTGCGATTTCGAGGGCTATTACAACCAGTTCCACCAGGCAGTGTACGAATGGGCTCACAGTGCTCGCCATGGTC